AGCTATGGCTGGAGCTCTCGGTGCTGCAACGCACCAGGCCTTGGTGCCTTTAGTTTTCATGATACCCAGGCATTGGGGGCCGGCATAGGTGTAAAGATGAGAGACTCTATAGCCATGGGAAAAATGGGAGTTCAGGCACCCTGGCTGGAAGCGCTGGATTGGAAAGGACTAGAGCAGGAATTTGAGCCAGCTGCCTACATTCTCTCTGATGCTATATGTTCACCATGACCACCACGACCACTATGATCACCATGACCACCATGATCACTATGACTACCATCACCATGACCACCATGACCATGATTGCCATGATCAACCACAACCACCATGACCACCATGACCACTATGACCATGATCACCATGATCAACTATGACCACTGAAACCATCATGACCTGACCACCATGACCACCAAGACCACCACAACCACTATAACCACCATGACCATGATCAACCATGACTACCACGACCACCATGACCATGATCACCATGATCAACCATGACCATGATCAATCACGACCACCACAGCCACCATGACAAAGGCAATGATCACCACCACCACCATGAGCAGCTCATTTCCTCCACTCTCTTATTCACCAGTCACCAGCCACAGAAGACAGTATGGACCCGCCACCTACGCATGCCTTTACAAGAGAGCCTAATGGTAGGTTGTCCTGATTTAGGCTTCTCTCTGGCCTGATAGAATGGGGCCAGAGGAAGGGCTGGTGGCTTCAGTCATCTGTTAACTACCTGAAGGAGGGTGGCAGGGGAGGAGAAGGAAGCAGACAGAGAGGAGCTGCACTATTGTGGCCTCTGGGGTGGGCCAGGGGTCAGACCCCAAGGCAAGGGAGGGCAATAGCATCCTTGTTGTTAAGTTTTCCTTGTGGTAACCTTAAGTCTGAGCTTAACTCAAGCTTCTCTTAATTATTCTAGCCCGAGGGTGTTCTGGAAAATTCAGTGAAGTGCTCAGGGAAGCAAAGCAGTGTGGCTGATAGAGAGAGTTCCAGGAAGAAGGGGCTTGGAACAGGAAGCAGGAGGGACAAGACCCTGACCCTCAAGGCTCAGTGTGGAGCTAAGTGCACCTTCTTGTTGAGTTCCTTGACTACAGCCTCTGCCTATCAGCCTGGAGGGAATGCTGCTGGGGAGGGGACAGCCTGGAGGGGCTGTTATTGGGGAGGGGGCAGCCTGGAGGGGATGTTGCTAGAGAGGGGGTAACCTGGAGGGGCTGTTGTTGGAGAGGGGGCAGCCTGGAGGGGCTGTTATTGGGGAGGGGGTAACCTGGAAGGGCTGTTGTTAGAAAGGGGGCTGCCTGGAGGGGCTGTTATTGGGGAGGGGGCAGCCTGGAGGGGCTGTTGCTAGAGATGGGTTAGTCTGGATGGGCCTGTTATTGGAGAAGGGGTTCCCTGGGGGATAATTCCAGATGGCTAGGCAAGGACTCTCACAAGGAAGCCCTCAGTTCTGAGTCGAGAAGAAGCAGCCCCAAAGCCGCATAAGGATTTGCTGCTGTCTCCTGAGAAAACACTTAATGAGCAATTGCATTCATAATATGAAGCAAAACTTCAGACTCCATTTCTCCCCAACTTTCTCCTACTCACACCCATCTCCCACACACTTGCGGTCCCTTCCCTCCCCAGCACTTGTATTCTTAAGGCCCTAGGCCAGGGAGTTTTGCAGCAGCTCCCCGTGGTCTCCACTGCCTGTCCCCTCCATCTCTCCCAGACCAGACCCGCCTCCAGCCCAGGAGCTTCCATGGTGAATTCACCCGAAAGGCTGCCTGTCTGCCTTCTCCTTAGTCCTTTCTGGAATTGAAAAAAGAATTATCTTATATGTCTGAGTGGTTTGCCTGTGTGCATGTATGTGCACCATGGGCTTATATGGTGCCTACAGAATCCAGAAGAAGATGTCTGGCTAACTGAATCTGAATCCTTTGCAAGGACAGCCAGTGTTCTTAACTGCTGAGTCATGTCTCCAGCTCCCCGCCCCCCCAGTCCTTAATTTTATTTTTATTTTTATATGTGTGCATGTGTCTGCACATGTGCATGGGGGAGGCGTGTGCATCTGCATGTGAACATACACGGGCATGTGTGCAGAGAGCGGAAGTCAACCTTGGGTGGTGCTCCTCGGGTTCTTGAGACCCGGGTCTTTTATTGGCTTGAACTCGCTGATTAGTCTAGACTGGCTGGGCAGCAAGCCCCGGAGGACCCCCCACAACACACACACACACGCACACACACACACACACACACACACACACACACACACACCCCGGCTTCTTTCTGCCCTCCCCAGGGATGGGATTATAAGTGCAGGACACCCATGCCTGGATTGTCACAAGGGTTCTGGGGACTCAATGCGGGTCTTCATGGTTTTTACAGCAAGCACCTTGTCCACCAAACCATCTCCTACCTGATCCCTCAGTCCTCCTGATCATTCTCGGCATTATAAGGGCCTAAGGAGCTGGCCCTTGTCTATGGAGAAAAAGAAAGTACAATTACTTCTCACTGCAAATGAATTCTTTCCTAGTTAAAGGATACCTAGATTGGCAGGAGCCCTTCAGCAAAGACAGAAAAACAAAAACAAAAAAGAACAGGGGGCTGGAGAGATGGGTCAGTGGTTAAGAGCACTGATTGTTCTTCCAGAGGTCCTGAGTTCAATTCCCGGCAACCACATGGTGGTTCACAACCACCTTGAGTGAGATCTGGTGCCCTCTGCTGGCATGCAGGCAGAAGATTGTATACACAATAAATAAATAGAATATTAAAAGAAAACAAAACAAAGAACAACGAGGCTTCCATCACAGACAGGCACTGCTGCTCTTGGTGCTGACCCCGGAGTGCAGGCTCATGGCACACAGCTCTGTGGACACCGTCACTAATGCTGTCTCCACTCTAGGGTCACATTGGGAGCTTTTGGGAAAAGCTGGGGATTCTGGGTCACCTGGTGTGGTTCCAAGGCTCAAGGCATCATGGGAGCTTTGACTAGCTGCTAGATCCAATCAGTTGCTGAAGAGACGACACCCCCACAGCTTGGAAGTGTCTCCAGCCACAGCCTCTCTCCTTTTCCTTCAAGAGGAGCTGAAGACCTTTTGTCAAGGAACAATCTCATGTCGCAGCCGGAAGCCCTGGTCAACTCTCCCTTAATTGGCATTCAACAGCTGTTTAATATACGCGTGGCGAAGGCAGGAGCAGTCTGGGGGAGTAAGGGGAGTCATGCCTCGGAAGAGCTGACATTTAAACGGGCCCCAAATGACAAGAAAAAAAACAATCTGCCATGCGAAGCTGTCATGATGATAGGTATAAAGGCCACAGGGACAAAAGGGACATATGGCCAGGGCACAGCAGACAGCAAAGAGATGAAGTCTGAGCGGTGGCCCGAGATATATCGTGGAGAGTCGTGGAGCAGTGACAGCCAAGTGACTTTCCTTCCCTGGGTATTGGGAAGCCTCTGGAAGGTCTTCAGAGGGTAAGGCAAGGCCCTCTTGTGTTTGTATGGGACCCTTGGTGGGCAGTAGGAGGCAAGCTGGTGGGCGGCAGGATAGGTGTCGGGAAGAGTGGTCCGCTCCCTCCGCCAGGGTCAGGGGCCAGAGCCCAAGGGAAGGATATGGAGCTTGTCTCTTCTGCAGAGTGGGGAATGTAGGTCAGGCAGCCCAGCTCGCTCAACAGGCCGCTGAAGCATCCCCCTTGCCTGTCAGGGGGAAAGCTGAGCCTGCCCTGCTGTGTGGGTTCAGCTGAGATCTGTACCGGCAAGGGAGGCAGAGAGACAGTCACCCAGGTGCAAAGATCTGGGTCACCACCCAGGATCCCCTCGTCCCCCTTCCCAGAATGCCTTTCCCTGCTCCTCCACTCCCTCACTGTCTCCTGCAGGCAAGCTAGACATACACCACCACCACCGAAGCAGGCAGCTATATTTTAAGATCAGGGCTCAGACCTCTAAATAAACCATAAACAAAACCAGCTTCCCCTGCTACAGAAGCGGCAGCGGCAGGGGGTGGGGGGATAGCTCCATCAACTGGGAAATAAATGAGTACCACTGCCTGTCACACACACTTAACCCTCTGCGGAGGCATCTGCCAGGTCCAGGAGCTTCGGCTTGGCCTTTCCAGGAAATAGCTGATGTGCCCTGATCCCAGCTTCTCCCTGCAGGCTCCAAATTCGGATACTCAGGGAAAGGTGGGTGTGGCTTTTGTCCCTGACCCTGGCCTCACAGGGAAAGCTAATCAAAGGCAGGTTACATACAGACCAGGGGCTCCAATGTAGTCTGGGGTGTGGAAGAGGATGGGGATCAATAAGGAGGACCTGAAGTCTTGTGAATGAGCACACGGGTGCTGAGGCCACACTGTATTGCATAGCACACAGCCCAGCGCCGCATGCACGTACTACACTGATGCGTGTCTAGTCCCCCCCCACATGACACACACACGACACACACACACAGACACACACACACTGCATGCATCTTTCTATCCATCAGAAGACTTACTTGTCAGTGTTGTTCACAGACAGTGGAAAGCCTCAGGCCACAGAACTCCAAGCACCCCCCACCCCCTTGTAGCCCACACTGGCCTGAACACACATGGTACCCACACAGAACTCCATGACTCCTTCCCAAGCCAATAGGACCTGTGCACACCTCCCCAAACTCTTGCTCTACTCACATGCCTGTCACAGCTCAACCTCTCTTCCCCGACAGCTCCTGTTTTCCAAACACCCGGAAACATCCAGGTGTGGGAAACTTTCCCTCAGGTCTCCAAAAGAGGAAGCCCATAGATCCTATCTGCCCTACACACCCAAGTCATCTCTCATTCCCTGCCCTGTTTCTTACAGACCCAGAGAGGGAGAAAGTCACCGCAGGCAACCGTCTGTCTGAGCCCTGGGGGTGCTGGCAATAACAGCTGTCCCCGGAGGATGCGGAGGGAGGGGGGGAAAGGTGTCAGCTCCGTGCAGAGCTGGGGCGCCCGGGGGGGGACAGAATGACGCCCCAGAACATCTTTGGAGTGTGGAGCCTCGGCTGAGCCCCAGGCTGAAGCGCGCGGAGCTGTCCGTTCAGCACCATCGCGGAACTCCCAGCTCTGGGCCCTCCGCAAGGCGCACGGGCTCGGTTCCCACCCCCCGCTCCGCGGGCGCCTGCGGCGTGGGCTCGAGTCTCTCTTGGCGGGTGAGGGGCGCACGGATCGGAAGAGGGGGGCTCCACGAGCGTCGGGGCCACGCAGCCACCTGTGAGCCTCTCGCGACTGCGGGCGGCGGCGTGTGGGGCCCGAGACTGAAGGAGGCGCACGGCACGGAGGACCCCGCCTGCCCGGTGGCGGGGCAAACACACAGGCGCATACATCCACATCCTCGCAACCGCGCGCACTCGCGCAGCCAGCCGGCGGCGGCCACCGCGGCGATGCTCGCCAGCAGGTCGGGGAAGTTTCCCGCCGGCCTCGGCCGCGGGCGCCGGTGCACCCAGGTAAGCGCTTCCAGAAGGCACAAGGCGAGCCTGGGGAAGGCGCAGCGCACGCGGCCGGGGGGCACCGCGCCAGAAGGGCGCCGGTGGGGGTGGGAGGGTTGGGAGGGGGCTGGGAAGGGGATCGGTCCTTGGTAGCTGGAGACCTGGGACGCCGAGTTGACCCCCTTCCCCCTGGGCCCCAGATTTGCGGACCGGAGCGGTGAATTTCCCCGCCCCCTCCCAAATCTCCGCGCCCCCTTCTTGGCCCAGCCCTGCCGGTGCGCATCTCAGCTTGGGTCCCGCCTGTCTGCGGCGAGAGGGCAGGGGCGTCTCCTTGGTTTGCTCACAGGCAAGGTCAGCACGCAGCCCCCATGGGCTCTCAGAGCCGTTGGGTGCTACTCCCGGGAGGAGGTGGAGGCCCGGCTGTACTCGTAGAAACATACACCCTTGCCTTGCCTTGGGAAGGGTAACCCCTATAGAGCCATTCCTGCACCCCGGTGCCTGATCACAGGCGCACTCACACACACAGAGACCCTGCTGGAGAGAACTGGGCCCAGCCAGAGGAGGGTGGGGAGAAAGAAAAAGAGGCTGGGGTGTGGATTGCTGGAGCTCACACAGATGCGGTTCCTTCTGCTTTCAGGTGTAGCGCCCCCGCGCGGCGCGGGCGCCTGGGCATCTCCAGCATGACCCGCCAGAGCCTGTGGGACGTGTCCGAGGCTGAAGTCGAGGAGGATGGAGAGATTCGCATCAATGTGGGCGGCTTTAAGAGAAGGCTGCGTTCCCACACGCTGCTGCGCTTCCCCGAGACGCGCCTGGGCCGCCTGCTCCTCTGCCACTCCCGAGAGGCGATCCTGGAACTCTGTGATGACTACGACGACGTCCAGCACGAGTTCTACTTCGACCGCAACCCCGAGCTCTTCCCCTACGTCTTGCATTTCTACCACACGGGCAAGCTTCACGTCATGGCTGAGCTGTGCGTCTTCTCCTTCAGCCAGGAGATCGAGTACTGGGGTATCAACGAGTTCTTCATTGACTCCTGCTGCAGCTACAGTTATCACGGCCGCAAAGTGGAACCTGAACAGGAGAAGTGGGACGAACAGAGTGACCAGGAGAGCACCACGTCCTCCTTTGACGAGATCTTGGCCTTCTATAACGATGCTTCCAAATTCGACGGGCAGCCCCTGGGAAACTTCCGCAGGCAGCTCTGGCTGGCACTGGACAACCCGGGCTACTCGGTCCTGAGCAGGGTCTTCAGCGTCCTTTCCATCTTGGTGGTGTTGGGATCTATCATCACCATGTGCCTCAATAGCCTGCCCGATTTCCAAATCCCCGACAGCCAGGGCAACCCCGGTGAAGACCCCAGGTTCGAAATCGTGGAGCATTTTGGCATCGCCTGGTTCACGTTTGAGTTGGTGGCCAGGTTTGCGGTGGCCCCTGACTTCCTCAAGTTCTTCAAGAATGCCCTCAACCTTATCGATCTGATGTCTATTGTCCCCTTTTACATAACTCTAGTGGTGAACCTGGTGGTGGAGAGCTCTCCCACCTTGGCAAACTTGGGCAGGGTGGCTCAGGTCCTCAGGCTGATGAGAATCTTCCGAATTCTCAAGCTGGCCAGGCACTCCACCGGCCTCCGCTCCTTGGGAGCCACCCTGAAATACAGCTACAAGGAAGTGGGGTTGCTCTTGCTCTACCTCTCGGTGGGGATTTCCATCTTCTCAGTGGTGGCCTACACCATTGAAAAAGAGGAGAATGAGAGCCTGGCTACCATCCCCGCATGCTGGTGGTGGGCTACCGTCAGTATGACCACGGTTGGGTATGGAGACGTGGTCCCAGGGACCACAGCGGGGAAACTGACAGCCTCTGCCTGCATCTTGGCAGGCATCCTGGTGGTGGTCTTGCCCATCACTTTGATCTTCAATAAGTTCTCCCACTTTTATCGGCGCCAAAAGCAACTTGAGAGTGCCATGCGCAGCTGTGACTTTGGAGACGGGATGAAGGAGGTCCCTTCGGTCAATTTAAGGGACTACTACGCCCATAAAGTTAAATCCCTCATGGCAAGCCTGACTAACATGAGCAGGAGCTCGCCTAGCGAACTGAGTTTAGACGATTCTCTACGTTAGCTGGGAGGGGTTGCCGTCCCCTGACATACATTGGTGATCTGCCCCTTGTGCCGATGGCACAATCCAGGCAGTGGAGGGGTTATGGCATAAGAAGTCATCCCTACCCTAGAGGGAGAGCTGCATGGGATATGAGCCCTAGGTTGTTGATGCGATGTTTAGAGCCATTTTTAAAAAAAGAGGAATGGTGTGTCTGACGCCGTGCCTTTGCAGCTTCCAAGGAAATGGCACTCGCTGGTCTTTGCATCACGGGCGTAAAATGTTCATCTTTCTGTCAGATAAGTGTCTAGAATGCTAACTTCTCTGTCCACTGTGTATGCTATCCTAGTGTTTATGCCCCAGTACTATCCGTGAGTAGTGCTGTCTGTCCTCCTGTTTCTGAGGTGGTTGTGTGAACTCTATACAAAAAGCCCCGATAAGTCTGCTCCCTGGAAACACAGCCGTCTGTGAGGTCAGCGAGGATATAATGAGATTCGGGTCACAACCTTGTGAAAAACGGAATCTCAGTTTAATTTTTAATACCAAAACAGGAAGATTGCAAAGCTAAGCACACCTGACCAATGCAAGTCTTATTTCTCCTTGGTCCTGTCCTTGTGATGTGCATGGGTAAGCCCACCCGTTTTAGAAAGGTGTGTATTGATTCATATCTCCCAAGTGTCATTGTAAGAGATGTTATTTAGTCAACATGTAGTAAAGAGTGAATGTTTTCCTTAAACTGATAGATTAGGGACAGGGGCTTTAGCTAAACATGGACCAAACCCCAGGATGCTATAAGCAGAGCTCATGTAGGTTAAGTCCTTTCACTGACAGTCAGGCCTCTATTTTTCCTGGAGGAATCATAGAGACATTTATTTCTGGCTGAGATTTCCTTTGACCAAAGTTTGCTGTGTCTTGGTATTAGCATGTTTTTTCAAGCATTTCTTTTTAAAGATGTTTTAGGAATAAGGCTGTGTGTCTTTCTCAACTAGAAGAGGTTAGTGTCACATTGTCGTTGTGAGGTGAGCATTGTTAGGTTGCTAGCAAGGGCAACAGCTTAAACACTCTCTTGCCTGCTCTGAAAGCCCATAAAATGACAGCCCTTTTTTACTTCCAAGCAGAATTCTCTTTAGTAGTCTTGCTTCTAGGATACAGGATAGTATGTACAATGTTTTGATTGCCTGGGGTTCCTGCGGTGACATGGAAACCTAGTAGTCCAGAAGTGTACTCAAAATATAGATATGCATGAAGGCAGTGTGACTTACCCAAGGTGGAAACACTGTCCTTATTTCCATTGCAATTGCAGGGCTATATTTTTGGGGTGGGGCATGGGCAGAGGCCAGAAGAAAAGAAAGAGTTATAAAGCCAAAAACTACTACTTCATGAAACATAAATAACTGAGTTTCTTTAGAAGATTACAGCTGGAAAAAAATCCTTTCAACCATTAAGCTTTGTTGAAGGGTCGCCACTATTTCCTTTTCCAACTCCTTTTCTGCAATTAGCATAATACAGTATGGAGGGGAAGCTGGCCCCCTTTTCAGATACTCCTTTCCCGTCATCCTCCACATGATCTGATGGTTTTTCCAGCGGCTTTCATTACTGTTAAGTCTTTGGCAAGGCTATAGAATCTAGGGATGCAAATATGGTGATAAGCAGGCTTTTTAATCCAAAGTTTGGACCTAGTCTTAATCGGTCCATTTTGTGTTTTAGTCGGGTAGGGATAATCCACACCTCGCCAGAGTGTGTGGAGTGGATCTTCTCAGAGGGCTTTGTGCAATAGTAGTTGTCATGGCTACTACAGTGTGGGCGACTTGTTGGATGAAAGCACTGGTCACTTAATGTCCTTGAGCCTCCAGTTGGAATCTATCATCAGACAGGAGTCTCAAGAGGGGCGGAGGGTGCCTAGTGCCTCCATGCAGACACACCTTACGTGTATTATTCCAAAGCACTAGGGGATGTAGGGTAACGTACAGGAACCTGCCTTCTGAGGAGTGGGAGTTTCCACGGGGAACTCTTGATGTCGGCTAGTACCTTTAGCCCCAGAAGACAGAGAAAGATGCACTGAAGGCAGGTGAGAGCATCAGCCCCGTGAGGGCTGCTTGGTCTGCCGGGGCTGGCGGTGCAAGACAAACAGCATAATAGCCATGGTCAGTGACCATGAAGCTGATGCAAAAGAGAAGGGACACAGGAGGCAGAATGACTTAGCCACTCTCACAAGGCTTTTTCTAAATGCGCGGGTTTACCACCAAAAAAAAAAAAAAAAAGCGGTACCTCTAGTGGGTACCTACAAGGGTACGGAAGCTGGGAAACTTGACTTCTCTTTTTTTTTTTGGTAATGACTTGCTTTTACCCGGTGCCTTTCTTTGGGGGAATCCCAAAGTGCTTTAGAGACTGTCTTTTTAAACATTTCTTGTACATATACATGTATACTCGTAAAAGAATATTTCTTTGCCCGCCAAGACCGTGTAGTCACTTCTGGACGTGAAAGGGTCCCCGCAGCATTGAGTTCTCCAAGTAGTGGCTTCACAGACCTCCTGGGAGAACATCGCGGATGGCTGGGATGCTGCTGCAGCGAATTCCCAGAGAAGGTGAAGAGGGGCGTGGGACTCTGGGAAGCCTTCTCTTGCCACCAAAACCCGCCAAGGCAGGAAGTTTACAAGCGCTGGCCACCTTAGATAATGCCCCCGCGGCAGCAGTTTTTCTTGGTAACCCAGGAAGAGCAGATTAACTTTCTGCCCTGCTCTTGGGAGTAAAAGCTACAAAGATTAAGTGACCCCCATCAAACTTTCAAAGTGACCCATAATGAATCCTTTCTTGGTGGGGATGAGTAGACACACACAGACACACACACACAGACAGACACACACACACACATAGACACACACACACATAGACACACACACACAGACACACACATACACAGACAGACAGACACACACAGACAGACAGACACACACACAGACACACACACATACAGACAGACAGACACACAGACACACAGACACACAGACAGACAGACAGACACACAGACACACACACAGACAGACAGACAGACACACACACACAGACAGACAGACAGACACACACACACACACACACACACACACACACGACACAGGTTCACTTGTGTCCTGCTGGTGGCTGAAGAGCGGCGTCACGCCTGGTATTTGATCTGTTCGATGTCACTGGGACAAAACACCCGGGCCGAGCTTTCCTCACGGCTTGTGAGATGGACATTTTGGAAGTGACTCGCGTGTTCACCGAACAGACGCACGCACAGGTCTTGCTTAGGCTGCGTTGCCCGTCAGTCCTCATTTCCCGGGCTTCGCTGCAAGTGGAGGGGCGTTTTGAATGCCGAGCTTATGCCTCGCTCATCAGGTAGTAATTGGTGTTTAATATTTGAATTTGTTATTTCTACTTATCATAGCACTCAGCTCACTGAGCTACCTGTTAATTATCGCCTCATTTCAACGGAGAACGGTTTGTTTTCTGCACTTGGGGATACAGCGGCGGCTTGTACGGGTTGTGTGGTCTCTACTTGAAGACTCAACTGGTGTTTCTTGTATGTTTTAACAGCATGGCTTGTTCCAGGGTTGTAATTTTAAACACCGAGAACGCTGTATTTGTAAAGTCATTTTTAACACTCATTAGCATGCCACCGTGCAAGCATTCTGGTGGCTCCACTGCTCCACGACGTCTGAGTCCCGTCTGCAAATCTCCTGCGCCTCCACTCTGGAACGAGGCACGTGACTGACACGTTCAGGATGGCAGCCTTGCAAATGTGCACATTAAACAGAAAACAATTATTAAACCTCCTTAAGGCCCCTCAATTACACATGGAGTGACAGAGACCAGGACATTGGGAAGGAGGGGACTGGATTGACTGAAAAAGGATGAGCTGCCTTTTGTTTTTCTCGTGTGTGTGTGTGTGTGTGTGTGTGCACATGTGTGTATTCATGTTCACATGCATGTAGAGGCTAGAGGTTAAAGTTGGCTGTTTTCCTCAATTACTATGCACCTCATATATTCAGGCAGGGTCTCTCACTTGAACCTAGAGCACAACGGTTTTGCTAGTCTCGCTAGCCAGCTTGCTCTGGGAATACTTGTCTCTGCTTCTCACACGGTAGGATTATATGAAGAAGACCATCCTGCCTCCCCACATTTCCATTGGTTTTTGGAGACCTAAATGATGGTCTTCCTAGCCCCAAGGCTAACATTTCTTCTTGGCAGGAGGCAGCAGGGGAAGGATATCTTTGCTAAGATCTGGAGCGGAGCTACTGGGTCCTTGGTAGAGGGCTTGTTACATTTTCTTGGGACCTCAAGTGGGCCAGAAGTTCCTGAAGGATTCCCTTCCCACTTGGTGGCCTGCTTGGAGCCTCCGCAGCCTGCTCTGACAGGACCACCTGTCCCAGAGTGCCAATCTTTTGGCGACTCGTGTGGTTACTGGTAGCAAACCAGGTATGGAGTAGCTCGGCATGCCCAGGGTGGTTGGGTATGAATACTGTTGGAGGATCCTTGAAACTGGCTCTACCTGGGTGTCTCAGCCATCTTCCCCCATTTCCTTCCTCTGTGTTCAAGGTCCTATTGTGCTCTGGTCGCTCTTGGGGAACTACCCTTTCCTAACCCCTAACCCCAGAGGCCTCTCTGAAGTTCTCAAGCCCCCCTCTCCTCCCTGGGGGATTATTTGGCCTCATAGAGAAACCTCCAACTTCTTTGTACTACTCTTATCCAGTTATTGGATACTACACGTTGTTGGCTGGGCAGGTTCTTTAGTCCCCCCCCCCCTCCATTGTACATGTCCCTCAGAAGTTGACACTCGTGCAGCCTTAGCCAGCACGCATGGCTCCCGGGTCCACAGTCTCACCTCCAGCTTAAATCCACGGCCCAGGCCACATTATGCCACCACATTCAGAAGCCATCCTGTCTAATATGGATTTCCCACCTTGGCTCCAACTTCCTCCCGTCTCCCTCATTTCCGCTGGTGGAATCACAGTGCTGCTTCTGGTCCATTGGGGGAACTGCCAGTCATCTCGACTCCCCGCCGCCCGACTTATTTGTCTATTCAGTCTCTACAACGGATCGTCTTTCAGCAGCTGAGTGATTGTCGAGAACCATGTTCAACTCAGGAGCAACACACAGAGAGGGTGTCATTCCCAGTAAGCGGGAGAAAACCCCCGCACAGCCACTTCAAACCAAGTTCATCTGGGGGGCTACTAGCCGGGGAGCAGAGTAGACCCCTGTGAGCCATCCATCTGCAAAACACCAGGGTCAGGCACCTGCAGATAAAACTGGAGAGAGAGAGAGAGAGAGAGAGAGAGAGAGAGAGAGAGAGACAGAGACAGAGACAGAGACAGAGACAGAGACAGAGAGACAGAGAGAGACAGAGAGAGACAGAGAGAGAGAGAGACAGAGAGAGATCTAGTCCAGGACCTGCTACTGAGCTCTGGCCCCGGCCCTCCGGGTGACTTTGATGCTGGTGGCTTTTAATCCGCTCATGTATCTTCACTATCCAGGGACGTCCTTATGCTCAACCTCGTTCCTGCACTCAGCTGTACACCAGGCTTCACTAACACCTGCTCCACGGCATGTTCACGCGCTGGGCCCGCACATCACAGCTTTTTACTAAAGGCTCTCACCCCCCCCCTTCAGACCCCACTGGCTCCTGTGTTGATAATGACCGGAGACCAAGGCTTGCCAGATAGACCTTTCCTTTCTGCAAGCCCTTCTCCCTGTCTCGGCGTCTGAGACCCACTAGCGGCTTCCTTAGCCACGGCTGGTGTTAAATCCAACCACACACGTGAGGGGGTCACGTGAGGGGGAGAAAACCCGCAGCACGGGGTCCTTCACGCTCTACGAGGAGAAGAGCATCCTTTTGATAGGAGTTGCCCTTCAGTGGGGGCGAGGACGGGCAGCAGGGACTGGGGAGACCTTGCAGCAAGGGACACCCAAAGGGCCCTGTGAGCAGCACGCTGGATGACCAGGATTAGCACTCTAAAAAAAACTGTCCTCCATAGAGCTGTGGGGTGCCTCACCGTGCCAGGCATTCAGGCAACCAGTGTGGCAGGGGATATAACAAGGACAGAATTGGGGTTCTTGGGAGGCGTGGGATTTTTTTTTTGCACTAAACTCTTCATCGCCCACATCCCCAGACATTTAAAGAACTCTGAGCCATTTTCAGACCTACTATAAAAAGAACTGAGGTGTCTGCCGCCAGGCACCAGGCTAACCGCTTCCCAAGAGGAGCACTGGCTTGGCTGTCTGTGTCTTGATCCGTCAGCCTCCTATCGACTTTCCTGGCAAACTTCTCAACCCTCCATGCCCCGCTCGGCTCCGTCAGGGAGCATCCGAAAGGCAGCCCCGCGGGCCCGCGGCGCTGTGCTCAGACTTGCTTATGACAAAGGCCACCCTCGCTGGGTTGTATTCTGCTTTTCTTTTTCTGGAAAGTGTGGGAGGAGAGGAGGGGGAAAACCACAATGCACAGAGCCCAGGGTGTCCCTGGGCTTCCCCACTGGCTGCTGGAGAGAAGCCAGGCAGCTTTTTTCCTGCTTTCCCTGGATTCCATGTTTGAAAACCACTTTTGGGAAGAGGAGCCGGTGGGAGCTCAGAGAGCCCCAGAAGTAAAACTGGTTGTTCAGTAGTCACCCCGTATTGTTTTTTTTAAAAGAGCCTCTGTGTGTGTGTGTGTGTGTGTGTGTGTGTGTGTGTGTGTGTGTCTATCTCCTGACAACACTAAAATTAGACATTCCGGCCAGCCTCACGTTTACTGAATTCTGCTGTACCTGAGGTCCTCACCTTGAAAAGAGTTACGCAACGGTGCATCCAAGCACAGAGCACACAGTGACCCTCCCGAGTCGGAGGGAAGCGTTTGTCCTGATGTGTCAGGGAAACTTGCTGACTGGGGGCCAGAGTGTACAGATGTCACCAGTTTGGTGACACTAGAGAGTGCTTGCCTCACATAATACCAGGAGGGTGACAGAGGCAGACGCACAGCAGGCAGGTTTTAGTTGGGCTACAGAGCCCTAGCCAATTTCTGGAGGCCAGGAAAAGCCTTGTCCCCAGGCCCCGGGGGCCTCAGGGAATCCAAACCCTTTGGGAAAGGAGGTAGGAAACATGGCGTTTCACAGTCTGGCTTTCTCTGCACGGCTTCCAGTGGAAATTTCGTCCCCCACCCCTGACGTCTCTGCCTTGTGACGTCTCACAACACCGACCGTTATCCCTCCCAGCTGGTGTAATGTCGTCATCAGGGTGACATCTCCTCAGGATGATCAGGAAACTCTTTTGAGGGCCGACATGTCTATCTCTAGCGTCCAGTACAGAGTACGAGGACAATTAGATGCTGACAGGTCATAAGCAGACAGGAGAGGAGGCCCCTGGAAATCCCTGCTGCTGGCATCGACCGTATGTGTTTCCGGGAAGTCGGTTTGGCAGAATCGAGGACTCGGGGCCTCAATCTCGGGCT